TTAATACTAATTTCCTTGGGATTGTGCTTACAATACACCAGGTGAGGTTTTTGTAATATACTGTTACAATACAGATGTTAAACAGAGAGGGGGAAGTGTGCAAATCCCAAACTACAGGAGACAGCAGGGTTATCGTCTTTATAAAAGTTTCAGCACAAAAGAGCATCTTAATGCCGGATATCAGCAGCTCAGAAGCTTCTAGCTGCTAGGAAGAGAAATTCATATTTGAGCCATTCCCCACCTGGGTAAGAAGCAGGAACAAAGATTCGTTCAGTCACTCAATGAGAATGGATAAAATAATGACCACATACCAGGCGCCACGCTAAGTATTTTGGGTACCTTGTCACTTTCATCTTTGTGGCAAAGGTGCTGTGGCAGTAAAGCTTTGAATCCAAGTCTCCCAGTGCCAAAGCCCATGCTATGGGCCCCCTGGAGCCATGGCTTCCCCCTCACACTGGCTTCCCAGGGACAGCCATGGACAGCCATGACCTTGGCTTGGCCAAAACAAGACACAGCTTTTAAAGGAAGCCAACTTAGACCTAGGGGGAACATTTGTGTTTGTCCAGGACTACCCTGGTTTTAGCACTAAAAGTACTATGTCCTGGGAAACCCCTCAGGCCCAGGGAAACCAGGATGGTTGATTACCCTCTGGAAACACTTCCAGCAAACTGTGCTGCTTCCAGGGTGGCCACGCCCATAGACAGAGCCATAAAGATCCTGAATTGCTCCCAGGACACTTTCACCCACTCCTTCCCAAGGGCATGAGGCACCTGGATGTGAGAGGTGATGTGCTGAAGAAGTCACGTGGCTCACACTACGTTGGCCCTTGGCTGATTACAATGAGAAAGCCATGTGTCTGCAGCAGGCATCGCCATTTTCAGTCCTCGTGGGTTTCCAGACACTGTCGCTTTTGAGTACTGTCCTTTGCATATGGCAGCATCTAGCTTGTTCTCTCCATTGCTGTTACACATACTATCTCATTTAACCTCATAAAGAGTCCTTGCTGTTGGCACTGCGATGTTCCACTTTACAGAGGAGCAGCCGATTTAGGGAAATGGAACGATCTCGCAGGGCCACACAGTTCCTGAGAGGACTCTCTAGTCCTGTCTGCACTGAGCATCAGCTTTGCACTGCTTCCACCGCCTGGCCCTCCCTCCTCCATCCCTCAGCGAATCATCGGCTTCCATCTCATGGGGAATCACTGTTCTCCTTGAACCTCCTCTTCCAGATAGTTTATATTTATTTGGGTGATTATCAGATTGAAATCTGTTTTCCCCTTAAGACAGTGATCTCTGGACACGATGCCTAACTGACCAGTATATCTCTCTCTGGCCCATACCCCAATGCCTGGAACACAGTAGGTCCTCCGTAAATACGTGTTTAACAAGTGAGTGGAATAACATCTACCCCTGAGACTAATCCTTTTCCCATTGTATCCGTCCCCTTTCCCCAGCCACCTTGCTACTACCCCGTGAGTGACAAGAGAGTTGTTAATACCCAGATTTTTCAAATGAGGAAATTAGAAAACAGCAGTTGGAGATCTTTGTCTAGGATCATCTTTTCTGAAGGGGATGGATGTGAGGAATCCCAGCCACCTGACTACGAGGGGACCTTTACAAAGCCTGGGGATTTTATCAAGGTCTAGCTTTTCGTGCAGGTGAAATTAATCTTAAATTTATCCGTAACTCATTATGCCACAATGATCACAGTACCTAGCATTTGTGGAGTACTTCACAAAATGTGCATAGAATTTCCCTATTTAGAGCACTTAATTGTCATAATTTTACAGATACTCTCAATGAGCTGAGAACAGTTAAAGTGTTCAAGATTGGCTTACGCCTATAATGCCAGCACTTTGGGAGGCAGAGGCAGGAGGATCCTTTGAGCCCAGGAGTTCAAGACCAGACTGGGCAACATAGCAAGACCCCATCTCTATAAAAAATTTAAAAACTAACTGGTGGTATGCACCTGTGGTCCCAGCTACTCAGGAGGCTGAGGTGAAAGCATTGCTTAAGCCCAAGAGTTCAAGGTTTCAGAGGACTATGATGGCGCCACAGCACTCCAGCCTGGGTGATAGAGTGAGACATTGTCTCAAAAAAAAAAATTGTTCAAGATCATCATGCAGCCAGTAAGTAATATAGCTAGGGTTCAAATTTAAGCCATTACACCCCAAATTTTATATTATTTGTACTATACTATTTTGTCAATTATCTACGGCTGTTTGAGAACTCAACAATATTTTGATGGAAATATCTTAAAAATGCTTCCTACTCATAGTTTCATTTTTTATAAGAGCTTAATCGAGATATAATTCACATACTATAAAAGTCACTCTTCTAAAGTGCATGATTTAATGTTTTTTAGCATATTCACCAAGTAGGATGACCACCATAACTATGTAATTTTAGGACACTTTTATCACCTCAAAAAGAAACCTCATACTCATTAGCTGTCACTGTCCATTCTCTCCTCCCCTGGTCCCTGGCAAGCACTAATCCACTTGTGTCTCTGTGGATTTGACTATTCCAGACTCTATCATGTGCAGCCTTTTGTAAATGGCTTCTCTCACTGTTCTCTAGGTTCATCCACATTGTACTACATCTCAGGTCCCTTTTTCTGGCAGAATAATATTCCATTCTTTGGCGGTACCACATTCTGTTTATTCATTCATACAAGATTTTTTCAAATAAATTTCGAGCCAACAGGGAAAAATTGGAAGACTTGATACAAAATCCAGGTGTCCAGTACACCTAGAAAACTCAGAAAATTTAATGTCACCTTCCTCTTGGCAATGATGTGCAGTTACTGAGATCTCACAGCGCCCCCTCCCGTCAGAGCGGCATGCTGTGCAGCACCGGCCCGCCCCGACCCAGCCCTGATTGTTCCAACTCTCCTCTCACCACTGTGGTGTCTTGTGTGGCCCTGGTGGGTTTGAGGTCCATCATGGATGTGGTGTGGGTAGATGTTAGAATCCCTAACTCAACTCAACCTTCTGCATTCCAGTCTTCTCTCCCTCATAGGTTTACTTCCTGGCCTCCTGACTACAACCCCTTAACTCACCTTTGATATTCATAATAACAGACAGTCAGGACTGACGATGATTCCATTCAAGTCATCTGCTCCCACCCAAGGACACAGTCTCACACCCTGAAAGAAACATGGTAAACTGACAAATTTCTATACAATTTGGCAGATGTCTTTGCTTGTAACATTTCAGTGAGCCCCCCTTATTCCAGAATGGCAGCATGTATTATCCAAGCTTGTTTTGAGACCAAAATAAAACAACAAAACAAATCAAAAAGAAGCTCTGCACACCCTGGGTTGAGCACGCGCTTCAGACCCTCTCAAATCTGTGTCAGAGCTCTGCATTCACAGTAGCCCCTGCTACCAGAGACTTTATCATCCTTTGTTCTTTTCCTTTTCTTCTAGAGGAAGAATTCAGATTATCCTCTGATAATTTGGACGTAAAAGACTCCCTTGCATTTAATGACTTAAAACAAAAAAAGACTTTCTACCAGTAAAGGGAAATAATAGATCCCAATGCTCTAAGTGCCTTATATAATTACTGTAATACGAAGAGCATTAGTATTTCCATGGACTTTACCTTACTGAACCGCATGTCTGCAAACATTTAAAGAAGCAGAGTTCACACATGCATGTGCACACACACGCACACACATCCCCACTCACACACTACGTATGCAGCATAGAGATTGACGCAGCTTGAAAAAGCACAGGACTCAGAGGACCATTAGTACTGCAGGACCTTACCCGGCTTTTTGTTTTGTTTTGTGCGAGAAAGAGTCTCCCTCTGTCACCCAGGCTGGAGTGCAATGGTGTCATCTCGGCTCACTGCAACCTCCTCCTCCCAGGTGTGAGCGATTCTCCTGCCTCAGCCTCCCAAGTAGTTGGGACTACAGGCACGCACCACCATGCCCAGCTAATTTTTGTATTTTTAGTAGAGACAGGGTTTCACCATGTTGGCCAGGCTGGTCTTGAACTCCTGATCTCAGGTGATCTCCCCGCCTCAGCCTCCCAAAGTGCTGGGATTACAGGCTTGTACCATGCCAATTTTGTGTTTTTTAGTAGAGACGGGGTTTTGCCATATTGGCCAGGCTGGTCTTGAACTCCTGACTTCAGATGATCCGCTTCCCAAAGGGCTGGAATTACAGGTGTGAGCCAGTACAGGGTTTTTTATACATGGAGTTTGACAACCTCTTGCCAAAGTCTGATAAACCTGCAAAAATATGTTTTACTCCTCCTAGTAAATATAAGCGAGTAGGAAAAGCTGTGATTTTTTTTTTCCCAGAGGTAGAGGTTTTATTGCGTAAAACACTGGATAAAACTGGGCTGCTTCAAAGACATTTTATTCTAACAGCAGAAAGAAAACAGTCATTGCTGAAAAAACAACTTTTAATACTTTCTATACCAGAATAAAGTTCTGTCAACTGATGTATTATAATAATAAATAATGACCAAGAATAAACTTTAAATACAAAGTTTTCTACTTGTTACAAGCATAGCAACAAAATCCTCTACTCCTATTGATCTCAGATTTCCTCCAAGATAGATTTTTTTTTTTCTTTGCGTAGGAATGTAGACAGTATTATGACCAGCATCACAGACTACAGAAGTTACAGGGAAAAAACTTGACATGTTTAGATATGAGAACCTGATGACATTCAGAAACTGACGCTGCATCACTGTGGCTGTCACTTGTTTGTATTACAAGTTACAAATGTTCTGGAAAGAAGGCCTGTGTCAGAGGGGGAAGGACAGTAGCACTGGACAAAATGGAATCAACACACACGCCACAAAGAAGAGGGGATGTTCCCAGTGTCACAAACAGAATTATTGCCTGTCGCATCTGAGGATGCTGAAAAGACACAAAAAAATACTGAAAGAGCTCCCAAAGTGCTAGAAATGGAATGTGGCTCTCATTTTTCCCCCACTTTTTTTTTTCCTCTTTTTTTTTCTTTTTTCTTTTTTTTTTCATCTTTTTTTTTTTTCTTTTTTTCTTTTTCTTTGCTAAGATACCAAAGGCAGAGCAAACACAGAAAGCAAGGGACTGGCACAGTCACCAAACACAGTAGTGCAGTTAAAATCCTAAAGCTTACTACAGTCGGAAAGTTTTCAATAACATTTCAGTCCTTTCTCTAGGATCATAGAAACAGTTGCATTAAGTTTATCAACTCGATTTAAGTAAGGCAGTGAGAACTATACTAGAAAAACAAGAAAGCAGCTTGCTCTATGCCAGATGGGTCCAAGTTGCACAGCGACCTCATTTACACTGAAACCTCGGTTAGATGACACCCTTTTGACAGCATATGCAAACCGGATTCCTTATTAGCCTGAGATTCTTTCTGGTCTCAGGATAGCACTAAGAATTTTATTTACATTGATTGCAGTTTAGTATTTTTGTAAACTGCTGTAGGCAGAGCTGAAGTTTTTAAGGCCCTGGGGTTTAATCTGTGCTCCCAGCCTGCAAGGAAATATTGACTTTTTTTTTTTTAAAGTCTGAATGATTTTGTTTTAGAAGAAGTTAATACTTTCATACTTCTCTACCACCACAAGCAACAGCACCAAATTCATGTCACTCAAAGGAAGTATGTTAAAAGGCTCAACTTTACACCATGCTAGCAGATTCAAGAATAAACCTTTAACTAGTCTTCTTAAATCATTTTTTAATGAGTTAAGTGTTTCATTATTGACACTCAAAATCTCCTTTTGTGTGGTGCAGAACTTGATAAATTTGGAGTATCCAATCAGTAGAAAATCTAAAATCTACAAAAATATAGAACACATTTGTTTTACAAAAACAGACATTTTAACTCAAACAGTTTTCGTCATTAGAGATAGAGAGCAGGATGTTTAGATTCATATTTTAATACAAGCTATTTCATAAGAGCTTGCCGGAGAAGAAAATCTTGCTTCATGTCTGTGACACTTATAAAAACCAACACATGAAAAAAAAATCTGATAATAAGGACTGGAGCAGCCTTCATTCAAGTAAAATTTTAAAAATCATAATAAAAAAAACTTTCTATTATTACCTACATTTTAATTGCTCACCAGCATCTTCTATGGATGGGGTTAGCTAGTTTTTCTAACAACATTTTATATAATTACCCTACATTTTTTTAAATAGCAACTTCCTTCTTCATCCAAAAATTTTTTGGAAAAAAGAGAAAAAGACCACCAAGAACAAAACATTTCCCTCCATACTGCAATTTGATCTAAAAAAAGGAATTACTCATCAAACCTGCAATGGACATTTGTCTGCAGACACTTCCTGATCATTGATTTCATTTGGCTGTGTATTTTGTAAAAATGCGCATTTAAGATTTCAATCCTCTGCAGTGCCGGTCAGCCCTGGCGCTGGCTGCGGGCCTTCTAAGGTTTCTCCAAGAGTGCAGTTACAACACCACGTGAATTGATTTTCTCTGCAGTGACCGCTCCAGTCTGACTGGCACCGCAGCTGCCTCCCGACACATCTCATTAGGGTTCTAGGCAAATGACAGCAGCTGGTGTCAGATTATAGAGGTGTTTTCAACAACGAAAACACAGCCCCTCCATCTTCAACGCAACACTAGATCATTTAGATGGTATCGTTTTTCCGTTAAGAGCATTATTTTTGGACAAAGACGACTTTCGAGTTGGAAGGGCCCCCAGCTCTCTCCAGCTCAGAGGGCACCAAGAATTTTTGAAATCACTTTTCTCCCACCTGCATTGTTTTGGAAGTACTTGTTGCCGGGTAACAGTTTAGCAGCCATTTTCAAGGGCTGGGGAATTTTTTTTTTTATATATATATAGATATCTTTTTAAAATTTTTTAAATGTTCTATACACTATTAGGGGGGTTGTACATGATTTTTTCCCCTTGGAATGCAGTTAGCAAACTTTTACCAGATGCATAATGTTAAAACTGTGTAAAATACTATTGCAATATACAGGTTGGTCTGCTCAGTTGGTCTCCTCCTGGCCCTTGCCACCCTCTTCCGTGAGGTCTGCAGAGCTCCCCGCCTTGACAGCTGTAGGCTCCTCGAAATTCCCAGAAGCCTCCGAGTCGACCCTGGAGCGCTTGAACCTGCGGTCGGGATACTGGCTGTTGTCAAAAGGCATGCGATGGACGCAGAGGACATGGGTCTTCAGGTTCCCCTTCTGAGAGGCACTGTAGGGACAGTAGCGGCACTGGAAAGGCCTGTGACCTGTGGGCAGAAAGAGTGGCTGGTCAGCACTGCTGCTCACACCTTCCTGGCCCCCGGGGCTCAAAGGATCATCATCGCAATCACCAGTATGATCAATATTATTATTACTTTGCAAAAATCAACTAGCAAGGGTTAGAAAAGCAGCCGATACATCAAACACATAAGCTAAGATTTAGAAAGTCTTCCCATCCCTGAATATTTTTGTTGTTGTTGTTAGAGATGAAGTCTTGTTCCTCATCTCAGGCTGGGAGTGCAGTGGTGCAATTATATCTCACTGTAGCCTCACACTCCTGGGCTCAAGCCATTGTCCCGCCTTAGCCTCCAGAGTAGCTGGGACTACAGGTACACCACAATGTCCAGCAATGTTGTTTGTTTGTTTTACAAACAGGATCTCGCTATGTTGCCTAGGCTGGTCTCAAGCTCCTTCTTCAAAGGATCCTCCCTTTTCAACCACTTAAGTAGCTGAGATTATAGCAAGCCACCACACCAGGCTCTTGCTAGAGTTTTGAATCCAGACTTTCTAGGTAATTGAAGATAAATCTCCCCATACTTGAATTTTTTTTCTATAAAGGGTTAAATAGTAAATAGTCCCAGATTTGCAGGCAGAGAGGCAAAATCCAAGATATTATGTAGGTATTTGTAGAACAAGACAGGAAACAAATATTCCTCAACTTTGTATTGATGAAATTCAAAACTTTATTTATGGACACTGAAATTTAAATTGTATATTAATTTCATGTGGGATGAACGACTATCATTCTCATTTGAGCTTTTTCCCAAACATTAAGAACATGCATAAACCATTCCTAGCTCACAGGCTATATAAAAACAAACAGTTGCTGGGCACGGTGGCTCACACCTGGAATCCCAACACTTTGGGAGGCTGAGGTAAGTCAGCTGTTTGAGCCCAGGAGTTTGAGATCAGCCTGGGCAACATGGTGAGACTGTCTGTACAAAACAACTTGAAAATTAGCCAGGGACATGCCTGTAGTCCCAGCTACTCAGGAGGCTTAGGTGGGAGGATCACCTGAGCCTAGGTGTTTGAGGTGGCAGTAAGCTATGATGGTACCAGTGCACTACAGCCTGGACAACAAGCAAGACCCTGTCACAAACACAAAGAACAAACAAACAAACAAAAAACAGACAATAGTTAGATTTGGCTCACGAGCTACAGTTTGCTGATCCCCGTTCTGCACAAAGACCATAAATCCTTCCATCTGGGAGTCTGACTCAGGCCTCAGGGCAAAGCCAGTTCACGTTCTTATCCTCCCATTGACTCTTCATTGTTGAGCAAACCAAGAATGGCAAGGGAGCGTGTGTTTGGGGCTGGGGTAGGTGAGGAGTGCCACCCAATGCTTGCTCTTAGGCAGAGTTGGAAGGGCTGAGCTGGGGGGATTTGTAGAGTCTGAGGGTCTCAGGGGCAGCAGCGGAAGTTGTCGGGACCGGGAGCAAGATGAACAGGTAACCAAGGCCAGCATGAGTTTTAAAGAAGGTAGATTTTGAATAGTGACTCTTGAAATAAAACCTTCCTAGAAAGATTCTAATTTGGAACAGGAGGTGGATTCTTGTGGAAGTTCACCTAATCCTCCAAGCCTGACATCTCTACCCTGATGCGCCGCAGCCATGCGCAGACTCTGCCATCTTGAGAAACTGGTAAAACATCTGGCTGGGGAAGTTATTCTGAAGCAATGACATCTCCCCTGCTTCCGGGAAGTTGTTGATGAGACATTCCTGGAAGTTCTCGTGTGCTGTTTCACCCAGCACCCAGAGAGGTCAGGGCCCAGAGCTGGGTTTCATTTGCTCAAAAAAATAAACAAGTAAATAAACAGAGGGCCCCATCATTGGCTCCAGAAAATGAACAAACACATATTCAGCACTTTTTCTAAAGCAGTAATGGCAGTCCTGTGTCTATTTAGCAAAACAGTCTTGTTCCTGAGAAACAGGAAGCCAACGCAACGTTGGAAGCAGAAGCTCACTTTCCCACTGAATTGCACCCAGTGCTAAATTCTTGCTTCTTGTTGGGTTTCTGGAGTTCACTGCCTCCTTGTCCCCTCATGACCAACTGCTGTCCAGGACTAATCCATTCTACCTGTTGAATCTTTTCCTTTGCAATGCTGACTTCAGAACCAGGTCCAGTCTGTACCAATTCTTGTCTAGACTATGAATATGGCAGCCCGCGGGGGCCTTCATGCTTCCAGTTTCCCACCTCCAGCCTGTCCTCCCCAGGGACAGCAGAGTGAGTGCCTAAAGCAAAAGCTCAACCTGTGATTTCTTTGTCCCAGATCTTTGATGGCCACTGGCCTCCAAAGGAATAATAAGGACTTTCATGGCTCAATCCTAAAACACCCTTCCATTCCACACTACAGCACAACCCCTTTTGCCCACACCAAACCAAACATCATCATGGTCTCTGTACGTAGACGTCACTGTGCAGGGTCTCCATACCCTTGCTTGTCTACCCTCTCTCTGAAATGCCACTTCATTCTCTGCAGGCTCAAACCCACTTCTCTATTCAGGCTCTGATCAGCGGGATGCCTGCTTTATGGGCCTGAATGTATGTACTGGTCCTCCCAAAAGGCTGTGAATTCGTGGAGCAAGAACCATTACCACCTCAGTGTTATGAATGCCAAGCCCAGTGTCTGGCACAAAACAGGCATGAACTATTTATTATCTTCTTGTATCACCTTGCCTTTTTCTAAGGAATTATACATTTTTGGATTTTCTTTTCTTTTTTTTTTTTTAGATGGAGTCTCGCTCTGTTGCCCAGGCTGGAGTGCAGTGGCATGATCTCAGCTTACTGCAACCTCTGTCTCCTGGGTTCTAGCGATTCTCCCTCCTTAGACTCCCCGAGTAGCTGGGATTACAGGCATGCGCCACCATGCCCAGCTAATTTTTGTATTTTTAGAGAGATGGGGTTTCTCCATGTTGGCCAGGCTGGTCTCAAACTCCTGACTTCAGGTGATCCGCCCACTTTGGCCTCCCAAAGTGCTGGGATTACAGAAGTGAGCCACCATGCCCGGCCAGAAACTATACATTTTTGGATAGTGCTTCTGCTTCTTCTGTTTCTACTACTGTCCCTGACACGAGGCTGAATTTGATCAACCTTCTCACTTCAAGAAGCCAATTTGCAAATCTACAGACTTTGGAGTTAAAAACAAAATAAAGTACAAGAACAGTGACTTGCTGTTGGCCCTTCCTGACAGCCGACCACAGGAAGAAGAGCACAGCCAGCACCAGGGGCCAGTATCATGATTGCCAAGTAAGAGAAGGAGTCCCCAGAGTGACTGCCCATTTACTGTCTTGCCACCCTTTTCACCGTAAGGGCTTAGTCACCTAGGGAAGGCCCTGGGTTGGGAGGGGAAGGACAACTGAGACGTATTTCTAATGCAAATTTACAATTGTACAAAAAACTGTAAATGGTCCCTGTTTTTCATGACCTAGGAGTTAGGGCATAGACTGAAGGATGGAATTAGGATGCCAGTCAGAGACAATGGGATGAGCAAAGCCATGCCCATTCTCCCCACCATAATGGTGAATCTAACAGGGCTAAGCTGGGCATCAGTGAGTTCCAAGTAGATCCTCCTGGCCAAGCAGCTTAGTCCCCAAGATTCAGCCATCCAATATTTCAAGTTATCATCCCTGTGGACCCGAAGCTATGCCCAGGACTCACTGAGGGAGGGTTCGAGCTACTCTGAAATGGACGCTATTGAGCAAGAAAAAGGTGGGCCTGATTTGTAGCTGGAGGCCTAGAAGCCAATTGAAGGTCATCCCAAACAACAGAGAGAAGGAGCAAGACACCAGGAAACCTGAGAAATGTTTCGAGGCTCTGGCCAAAGCTTCTCTGCAATGGACTGTATTTTTCTGTTTCTACCCAGGGCAGCTCTGTGGTAGCTTGTGGACAAAAGCTGGCCACTGTCCTAATTACCATGGCTCAGATAAAACTAGGGCTAAGTCATTCATTTATTCATTATATGGCAATAATTTATTGATGGAGAATGTCACTATCGTTTGACAAGTCTTTCGAGTAAAGAACTCCAAATCATAAGTAAAAATAAAAAATAAAACCAAAACCCTTGGTACCATGATCCAAAGAGGCCAGCAGAACTACGAAACAAAGTGGCCAGACCTCAGTATTGTTTGTAAATCTGCCTCAGTTTACCAGGATGACTTTGGTTCTTCCATTCTTCAGTTGTTTTTGTTCATCAGCAAAACTGTTTATTGTATTTTCTTTTCTGTTTTGTTTGTTTGTTTCTTTTTTTTTTTGAGACGGAGTTTCGCTCTTTGCCCAGGCTGGAGTGCAGTGGCACGATCTCCGCTCACTGCAAGCTCTTGCCTCCTGCATTCTCGCCATTCTCCTGCCTCAGCCTCCCAAGTAGCTGGAAACACAGGCACCCACCACCATGCCCAGCTAATTTTTTGTATTTTTTTTTAGTAAGACGGGGTTTCACCGTGTTAGCCAGGATGGGTCTTGATCTCCCTGACCTCGTGATCCACCCGCCTCGACTCCCAAAGTGCTGGGATTACAAGGTGTGAGCACCACGCCCGATCAACTGTCTATTGTATTTTCTATTGTTACATTAGCAAGTAATAATTTCACATATGAATCCTATGCTACATGGAAGCCGCCCTCCCTACAAATAATACTGCCACAGGAGTGATGCAATGTGCCTCTTGGCAAACTAAAATATGAACCTCAGATATCACCTTTATTTGCAATGAAAGCCTTTTTGATTTGGCCAACTTGGTATAAAAGCACTTAGTACCTTTTTTCCACCAGTTGATTTTAAAATATTAATCATGATTTTATCCTATAGTTATATTTTGAATCTCTGTTTCTTGGGAATAGTCAAAATGTATAACAATAATTCTGGCAGATTTGGATACTTCACTGGTCAAAACATTAGTATTGAATAGGTTTCACTTTCACTTAGGTGAGATGGAAATCTATATGTAAATCCATCTAAAGCCATGCACGTATCCATTTGTAGAAAGAAGTCTAT